GACTCGATGGCACCTGACAACAACAACAACATGAACAGTATAAAAGTTCCCATTGATCCACATTTTCACCAATTGGACTTCATTTTTGCCATTCAAGTGCAATGTCAAAAAATTATCTCCCACTGTACTCTCTGGCTACTTATAAAATTATTCTTTTAAAGTATATTAAGGGTCCATTTGTGGTTTTTATTTTGTAAAATTTCTGTCCTTGTCCTTTGCTTATTTTTTATTGGGTTGTTTGTTTCATTTTTCATCTTCCATATATTATGTTTGTGCCTTCTCAAGTTTATTTCTGGATCAATCTCTTATCTATTTTTATCCCGCTACTTGTTCAGACAGAGTCCTGATGTGGCACTGTGGGTTAATGCACTAGACTGCAAGGTTGGTTTGAACTGCAAAGTCGGCAGTTCAAGCTCACCTACTGCTCCTTGAAAACCCTATACAGGGCCGTGATGAGTCGGAACCAACTCCATAGCACTTAACAACAACAACTTGCTTAGATACCTAAAATAGTTTGATTACTTACCTGCTGCTGATAATATTAATGGAAAGTTAAATCTAAGTCAAATAGAAAAGAGAAATGCAGCCTTTGATTGACAAAATGGGTCTGTGTTAAATATTAAATATTAAAAGATACTCATCCTCTACTATTGAGGAGTCTCTACCCCAGTGGTTCACAAAAACATTATGCTTATAATATTAAAAATGATAGACCTCAATTGTTGTTGTTATTGTTAGGTGCTGTTGAGTCAGTACCACTTCATAGAGACCTCTTAGGCACAACTGAACGAAACACTGCCCAGTCCTATGCCAACCCCGTAACCATTGCTGCATATCAATCCATCGCTGCTGCTACTGTGCCAATCCATCTCGCTAGGGGGTCTTCCTCTTTTTTGCTTACCCTCTACTTTACTAAGCATGATGTCCTTCCCCAGGGATGATCTCTCCTGATAATATGTCCAAAGTATGAGAGATGGAGTCTGGCCATCTTAGCTTGTAAGGAGCATTCTGGCTGTATTTTTTCTAACACAGATTTGTTCGCTCTATAGGCCGTTTATGGTACTTTTAAAATTTTCTTCCAGCACCATAACTCAAATGCATCAACTCTTCCATAGTCTTCCTTATTCACTGTCCAGCTTTCACATGAATATGAGGTTATTGAAAATACCATGGCTGGGGTCAGGTGCACCTTAGTCCTCAAACTGACGTCTTTGCTCTTCAACACTCAAAAAGATCTTGTGCAGCAGATTCGCCCAATGCAGTGCGTTGTTTGATTTCTTGGCTGGTGCTTCCATGAGTGTTGATGGTTGATTCAAGCAAAATGAAGTCTTTAACAACTTTAATGTTTCTTCTGTTTATCTTAATGTTATTTATTGTCCCACTGGTGAGTATACTTTATGTTGATGTGCAACCCATACAGAAGGCCATGATCTTATATCTTCATCAGTAAGTATTTTAAGTCCTCTTGGCTTTCAGCAAGCAAGTCTGTCTCTCCTTCTTCCTAGTCTGTCTCAGTCTGGAAGCTCAGTCCAAACCTACCCGTCATGGGTGACCCTGCTGGTATTTAAAATACCTGTGGCATAGCTTTCACAATTACAGCAACTCACAGGCCACCACAGTATGACAAACTGACAGACAAGTGGTGGAGACCTCAATTAGAGTCCCAGAGTTTGTCCTGAGGTAGCTCTGCAAACAGAAGATAAAAACTTGGAAAAATTTCTCTGAGGTCACATCCCCAGGCTGAATCTCTCTACTGATTCCCTCAGGTAGACCATCTGCTTGAGGCTGGCACTCCCTCCTCTTCTGCTGGCATTTTGTAATAGTCTCTAGAACTGGATTTTGTTGGTGTTCCCTGCCCCTCTCACTCATTTCTGGTCTGGCCAAACTCTTTGAGTTTAGCCTCAGAACACTATTTTGATTCTAAGAGATCTGTACCATTTCCTGAAGCAATAGAAAAACTGACCATGCCACCTGGATTCTTGGTTTTAACTCCAGAAATGGAGCTGGATTTGAGAGCAGATTGTAGAAAAGTAGACATCCATGGGTGGTGCAAATAGTTTAGCAGTTGGCTGCTAACTGTTGAAGATTTTAATTCACCCACAGGTGCCTCAGAAGGAAGATCTGGCAATCTACTTCCAAAAAAATATCTTTTGTGTATAGGGCCGCTATGAGTTGGTGCAGACTTGATGGCGCCTACCACCACCAACAACAACTTCCCAAAAAACAGTCATTGAAACCTTTCTCTGACACACATGGGGTTGCCATGAGTTGAAATGGACTTGACTTGATAGCGGCTGGTTTGGTTTGTAGAACAGCACCTCTTCCATGATAGAGCCAGGCCTCTCACAGACTCCTCCAGCTCATGTGCAGGTAGTTGAACTTTCAGATAAGATCAATGTGTTCATCAGGCATGAAGAGGCCATAGAAAGTCTAGACTTTCACATAAGTTTCTGGGCAGCCCTCCATCCTTCAGGCTGGCCCCAAATCTGAATGCATTCTCACCTTCTTGCTCTACTATTGAGCAGACTGACAGATTCTCCTGTATGCCTTCTTGTTGGCATCCCAGTGAAAAGGGCTAAGGTGTTACAGAAGTACTTTTAGATTCCATGTTCCCATCCTTCAAAAGTTGTGGCTTTCCTTACATCCAGATGAATCTTCTGGGATAGACCAACTCTGCTTCTCTGAAGACGTACATGAATATGAAGGATCTTTGTTCATGTATTAAAAGATTTTGACTATCTGATTCTTTTTTCCCCAAAGAACAGGACTTGCCATGGTAAAGAGGTAGCTTTGATGTTTAGGATGATTAGTAGTCAAAGAGAAGAATTAATTGAATGGACAGGACTGACTGTGAGGGTGGGAAATGTAAAGGTAGACGTTTTGTAGCAAAAGGAGGGGAATGATTGACTTTGCAGTCCAGGAGCAGAGGTCCCTGGGACCATCAAGGGAGAAGAGCAGAGAGCGGGACCCAACCCAGAGAGGCAGTGACACTAGAGATGGAGGCAGAGATAATGACGTGGAGAGATGGAGCAGCTGGGGACTTTAGACCCAGGGAGGGAAAGGGGCTGTGTGCTGACGACTGGGGTGGGCAGGCTTGTAGTGTGTACCCTTTGGTTGGTTGATGATGCGTGGAGGGGACTGTAACCATGACAAATGAAATGTAAGACAGGATGAATGTAAAACTAATGTTCTCCCATGTAAACTATCACATAATTCACAATAAAACATTCAAAAAAAAAAAGAATTAATTGATACCAGACTAATTTTATCTGAACTTTTGCAAACTAATCATGGCATTTGTTGTTGTTATGTGCCATGGAGTCGATTCTCACTCATAGCAACCCTATACTGGGTTTCCAAGGAGCAGCTAGTGGGTTTGAACTGCTGACCTTTTGGTTCGAAATCGTAAATAAGAAGACTGAATTCCAGGAAAGTTAGATGTTTTGTCAAAAGTGGCTGACTCTTTTGAATACAAAAATATGATTATTCTGCTATTTTCATCTCATCAGGATGTGTTTGGAGCCGTAGTGTGGTGCTATGGGATAAAGCACTGGACTGCAAGGTCACTTTGGACCATGAGGTCAGTGGTTCAAACTCACCTGTTGATCCTTGTAAACCCTATACAGGCTTGCTATGAGTCAGAACTGACTCGAGGGCACTGAACAACAATAACAACAGGATGTGTTTGGGCTATAAACTAGGAGCTGACACAGTAGATTACCAGTTGACATAAGCCAATTTGAAGTTTTACTAGGGTAGGTTATTTCTAATTATCTTTATCTTTGTTTTTCAGGACTAAAAAGTGAAAATTGTGTTGAGAACATAGGTAAGATATGCTTCAAAATATTATCTTTGTAATGAGAACTTTATCAGTGTTTCTTTCTCATAGGTGTGGGTCAGAGCTACCCTACTACACTTCCAGAATATCATTTTCTCAAGGCCAGTTTGTACTGCTGCAACTGCCTTTTCAGGCGGAAAGCCCAAGAGCTCCTACTGCTCGCGGTCTTTCCCTGACCCTCTCCCACACACACTGCCACACACCCCTGACTCTGTCTTAAACTGCACTGCCCCAGACTTGCAGAGACTTTCCTTCTATGAGCTGAAAGACACCCAAATGCCGACATCTTCACCATTTCCCATGAGATTCCTGCAGAGAGCAAAACTCTCATTCTTATATTTGGTGTCTTAAGAGATAGCATTTGGGAGACTAATGAAGGAATGTGGTTCAGTGGGGGTGGATTTGGTGAAAGATGGTAACATGGCCAGTCCCACCTTCCTCAAGGAAACATAGGAAGATGAAACAAAAATTAACTTTTCCCAGAGGATAGGCCAGTAGACAGAAAAGTAGACAGAAGAGTCTGGAAGTATTCAAGAAATTGCTTTATCAAATAGGCCCAGCAAATTTGAACCAAAATTCCTTGGGCTGATGCATCCTTTTGAGGATTCCTTATGAAATTTCTTTTAAATAAAAAAGTTGAAAATAAGGGTCCATTTCTAGCTGTTTTCTTGTTAATTTTTCTATAAATTCCCTTTTTTTTTTTTTTGTAATTGAAGAAATCCATAACCATTTGTCTTTGAGGCTGAAATGCTGCACTCCCCTTATAGCCTTATTTGTATGTATCTTAAATGAGCCCAGTTCAAACCCACCAACCACTCTCAAAAATCCTCTTGAGGATTGCTGTGAGTCAGAACTGACTCCATGGCACACAACAAAATGTATAAAAACAGACTGAACCTGATAGTCACATGTGAACCTAGTACAGCATAATGGAAATATGTTTGTGTTTCAGTGTATTTTCAACCCGTCTATGTCTACAGCTCTGGTAAGTATGATGGTTAACTTTTTTGAATCCTCTTTTTTTTAAAATAATAATAATAATAACTTTCTTCTGGTTAGGAAATTCAGTTTTTAGTAGAAGAAAAGAAGTACTTTGTAAATAGAAAGCAATGACTTGGCAAATATGAGAGGTGGAAAATAAAGAACTTATTCTGAGGAGAATTTCCTCTCCACCAGTGAGAGGCTTGGCAGTCTGGAAACTTTCTAGGGAATGAAGTCCGGAGGAGCTAGTCCCTTTAGGCCTGGTCTGTGGACCTCTTAGGCACAACTCTCTGTTTAGTCATTTAGCCTTTGTAACAACCAATATGCAGATGAAAATAGAAAACTAGTCATTTACATCTCTCAAATATCCTGATACTTAGTATCATTTAACTGAAATATGTGATAAGATGCATATTATTTTTCTTCAGTTTCCACATATGGGCTCAAATCACTTTCTTGCATTTAAGCCCTTTATTATGTGCTTGGAGTCCTGGCATGGTGCTGTAAGATATGCACTACACCTCGAGGTTGGTTTGAACCACAAGGTTGGTGGTTCAAACTCATCAGCCACTCCTCTAAAACCCTTTACAGGGTTGCTATGAGTTGGAACTGACTCGACAGCACTTAACAACAACACAACAAAATATACATTCAGTCCTGGTGTGGCACTGTAGGATGTGTTGGATCACAAAGTCGGTTTGAACCACAAGGTCAGTGGTTCAAACTCTCTAGCTGTTCCTTGAAAACCCTATGAGTCGGAACCAACTCCACAGCACTTAGCAACAACAACAAATTATGTGCTTGGCTCATGACACTGTAGTTTTTTGTGTTTTTTTTATCCCTGTTCAAGAGAAAAAAAGATGTGACCTTTCCTTAAATATGGAATTTGACTCTTGACGGTTAGGGAGATATTTCCTCTCCTGGTAGAAGTGAAGCTTTTCATGTTCCTGAGCATTTTTGTCTTATTGCTCCATTGTGCCAGGTTCAACTGGTTCCTCACGGAAACCTCAGCTAACGCTTTAAGATAAACAGTTTTGTGGCTCCTTGAAATCCCCAGGAGGTTTACTGTATGTGACTTTTTGAGTAAAGGAGGCCAGAGGACGGTTCCAACCTGTTAGCCCAGTAGCATTTAGACCCTGGCTGACACTTATTATTACCAGTAGTTTGCTGGACATACCGAGTATGGCTGTGTTACCTGAACAGTTTTGCTGAATCTGTAGTAACTGCTATTTCTTTTATTCCAACATTAAAATTGATGTTTCTTTTTTAATTTAGCTGAGAAAAACCAGAAGCTTGAAGACCCTGGTAAGACATTTTCCTAAACCCTGCAGGCTTACATTTACTTACAAGACAGCTCCTCTTCTGGGTGGGAGTAGGTGAGCCTGGCATGATAAGGGAAAGTGAGAAGGCATAGCCCACCTTAATTCACTAGTTTGGACTATCAGAGACGCTCATGGGTTTCAGAGAGAATTCTTTAAGAGACACAGAGCAGCTCGGTTGTCTCCTGTCAAAGTCACCAGAGTTGTCACTCTGGCCTAACAGAAAAAGTACACTATGATCTTAGAGAACACATTTCCTGCTTTAAGCTAGCTATTTCATTGAGAGAGTGGAAGGTGTGACCAATGACTCCACAAATTCTTGTGGCCTAAGACATTGGAAATGGCATAACAAATAGCACTGCTTCTTTCTAACTTATTTATTTCTAAAATTATCTGTTTATGTATTTCTGCCTCCTGCAGCCTGAATAACAGATGCTGTCAGCTGCAACTTCTGGTGCTGTGAATCAGCACTGGACTTCGAACTGCAGGGTTGGCGGTTCAAACCCACCAGCTGCGCCTTGGAAACCCTATACATGGTCACTATGAGTCAAAACCAACTTGGTGGCTCTTAGCAACAACAGTACATTCCAAAATACAACTCATCCCCGAGGCTTCTGTTATTGTTTAAATGACATCACTCAGCTATTCAGGCTTACTGGCGCAGGAGCACGCTCATCACTTACTGGAATACAGTTTCTGAAGGACACGTGGTAGTAGTATATATTGTTAGCCTTAAAAATGTTCATACCTTTTAATCCAGTTAGATCACTTTTAGACATTTGTCCTAGGGAAATTTGAGGTGAACACAGAGATTTGTGTAACAAAAGTGTTATCACTGTTACCATAGTGCAAATATTTAGAAACAACCTTAGTGTCCAACAGTTGGATATTGTTAAATGAGTTATATTATATTCATACTATGACACACTAAACAACTTAAAAATCATGTTTTTGAAAAATGTTTAAGGATATCAGAAAGTACTCATAATGGTAAATAAAAATTGGATACAAAAAACAGTTTATAGACTGTATCTACTTTATAAAACTATATGGTGCTGTTGTTAAGTGCTGTGGAGTCTGTTCCAACCCATAGCAATCCTCTATAGGGTTTCTGCGGAGCAGCTGATGAGCTTGAACTGCCGACCTTGACGTTCAAACCATCTTTGCAGTCCAGCGCATTAATCTACAGCATCACACCAGGACTTCGTATATGTTGTTGTTATGTGCCATGGAGTTGGTTCCGACTCATAGCGAGCCCTGTACAGCGTTTCCGAGGCTGTAAATCTTTACGGGAGCAGAAAGAGTCATCTTTCTCCTGCTAACAGCTGGTGGTTTTGATTCATAACCACTACGCTACCAGAGCTCCTTATGGTGTTATTTCCTTTCAATATTTTTGTTATGTGTATGTGTATATGTATATGTATATGTATATATATATACATACCGAAATATATGTATGTGTGTATATATATGTGTGTGTATATATATATACATAAGGATATATATATATATACATAAGGATACATATATATGTGTGTGTGCGTGTATATATATGTGTGTGTATATATATACACACACACACATATATATATAAGGAGCTCTGGTAGCATAGTGGTTATGAATTGGGCTGCGAACCTTAAGGTCAGCAGTTCGAAACTACCAGCCATTCTGTGGAAGAAAGATGAGGCTTTCTACTCCCATAAAGATTTACATCCTCGGAAACCCTATACAGGGTCTCTATGGGTCGGAACCGACTCGACGGCACTTAACAACAAAAACAACATATGTATATGTGTGTGTGTGTGTGTGTGTGTATATATATATATATATATATATATATATATACACACATACATATATTTCTGTATATATATATATATATATATATATATATATATATATATACACACACACACACACACCTAACAAAAATATTGAAAGGAAATAACCAAAAATGAGATTGATTTTAATTTTTAAGAATTTCCTATATCTTCCAAAATTATCTATAGTTATTTTATGCTCAGAAAAGGTTGTTCTTTTTAATATGCTACAATGATGTTTGATCTTCAGACTGAATCTAAAAGTAAGTTAAAAATTGAGAGCTCTTTGTTTAATCTGGAAGAGATCCTGGGTCATAGGTCATTCTTCTTACTATAAATCAGGTAGGCTGCAGTGGGAAATCTCCCCTCCACCCCTTCACTCTACCTTCTGCAAAGCTTCAGAGTTTTCCACTTTAAACACACCAGACGCTTATATAGGGTCACTATGAGTTGGAACTGATTCGACAGCACTTACTAAAAACAAGAGTTAAATTAATTTTCAAGCTGATTGGATTTTTCATTAAATAGTTCTTATTCTCATCCTCAGGGATGGAAAGCCAGGAGCCTACTGTGTTCTCTGGTAAGCCATCTTTTTACTTACTCTCTAGACTTGTTACCAGATTAGGAGGAGACATGAGACCATTACTGGGCAGGATGACTTTGAGGAATAAGCTAAGCCAGAACAGTGAGACTCCACTTAACAATGAACTCAATACCAGTGATCATGAAGCTGGCAAAGGCCCAACAGGGTTTATTCTGTTATACATAAGGTTTCCTTAAGTTGGAGTTGAGTAAGTGGCACGTAACATCAATAGCCATTACATAAAATGTTCCAGAAACTTTTACGAGCTCACTACTCATTTCATTCACTACAAACCTACAAAGTATTTCTTTTTCATCCATAAAGAATTGAAGCTCAAAGAGATTAAGTAGCCCGCCCAAAGTCAGAGAGCTAATAGATAACTAACCAACCAAGTATTTAAATCTTGTGCTGTCTCATTAAAAAACCTATGCACAAGACTGCTTTAGAAAGATGAGGCTGGAGAAATAGAGACTAGATAATGGGAGCTCTTACATTCTAGACCAATCAGTTCATACTTTGTGCAGTTAGAAAATGAGTAATCAAAAAGCAGTTTTCTAATTTTCCTTTCTTTGAGAGTTCCAAATGGGGAGCTATAGAAAAAGGAGGGCATTAACAATGCAAGAGAACTGATATGATTAATCAATATTCATTTCTTCCTTTAGGTTTGAAAAATCGTGAACCCACCAAAACACCTGGTAAGACATATTTCAGTTTACTCTCTGGGCCCATGTTTGAGATGAGAAGATATTCCCGAGGGCATTCAAGAGAATATTGCCATGAGGCTATTAGTACTCGTAGATATTTCCCTCAGAGCTGCTTACAAGGATTGAACTGAGGGAAAAACTAGGGAAAATGTTTTTCCTCCCTAACATCTGTGTGTCCCTGGAGCAGGAAAGTTAGTTTTGTTGGGATGTTCTGGCCCTGACTAAGGGCCAGACTGTGAGACCGGACTACATGCAGGCCAGCACCTTCCAGGTTCTACCGCTAATACATCTGTTAGGGAAGCTGCTCAGTAGAAATCTCAACTTCACGCTTAAGCTGCTACTTTTAGGGAGACATCTCAGCGTCTGGGATCTCCAGTAACGAAATGGTATTCTCCTGGCATAGACTCAGTGAGATGACACAGCAGAGACTCCTCTAAGCTTGGTGTGGATGTTCACACAGAGTGTTCTTATAGACAGAACTTTCCAATACAAATCTACAGTACCGGGGAACCTTTGGTGCTGGAATCCCTTGAGCTCATCAGACAAGAGTTTAAAAACTGTGCTCACTAAAGCAAACTGCAAGCCACTGAAAACTTCTTTCTCATTTATGAATGAAAAGTCCACATCCTGTTTCATTACCTGGTAAGCAAGTAGGTATGCCATAGGAGAAGCTGCCAACTTGGTGAAAGAGTTATAAATGTCCCCATTGGGCATGCAGGAGAACTAAAACCTCCTGAGCACAAGAGCACATTAGTGAGTGAGGGAACCAGGTCTCTTACTAATGAGCCAGTATCCCTTTCTCAACACTGGTGATTTCTCATGTTTTCCTAGTGTATTTATATGACAAATTTAACCTGCCTTTAATATCTAGTCTTAAAAATGGACGTTAAAAAGTGTAATCCTACTGCTGAGGGGCACAGCCACTTAGGAGCTGTGAGCTTCCGTGGCCAGAGAAACTGAACAGTGGTTCTAGGCAAGTTCTTCATAAGCACCTCAGAACGTATGCTTACAGGGGAGGGAAACAAGAAAAGGACTTCCAAATTTAATGTTTTTTCCTCAGGCAAGGAGAAATTTAAATGAAAAGAGTGGTGGCCGAGTGAGCCCAGAGAGGGCAAGTGTAAGGACCCCTGTTGAGCGCTGCGTCTGGACACTCTGGAGAGCAGCCTCACACCTCCGTGCTGCTTCTTTCTCTGTGTCATTTTTCAAATGTGGCTGCTACTTGTCATGCTTACCATGCAGGAGATGTGGAAGGACTAGAAAAATACAAAATCTAAGGCTCCACCTCCCTAGCCAGTGCTTAAACCCTTCTCCTGAGGTCATGGTGTGCTTGGGAATTTTTTTTTTTTTTTTTTTTTTACAAGTTTTATGATGGGAATGGAGGTGTTGTTAAGTACAGTGCGGTCAATTCCAACTCAGAGCGACCATGTACAGGGTTTCTGAGGAGCAGCTGGTGGATTTGAACTGCTGACCTTGTGGTTCTTAGTCCAGTGTTTATCATACAAACACCAGGAATGACCACCTGTTAAGTCAGCTGTGAGTTAATGCGCTAGGCCTGCGAAGTCGGATTGAACTGTAAGGTCCGTGGATCAAGTTTACCAGCCTCTCCTCGGAAACCCTCTACAGGGTTGCTATGGGTCAGAAACGACTCAGTGACACTTAACAACAACAACAAAACTAACCTTGAAGTCCTGGTGCGGTTATGTAGGATAAGCACTGGACTGCTAACCACAAAGTTGGTTCACACCCACCAGCCCCTCCTTGGAAATCCTCTGTGGGGTCGCTGAGTCAGAACCAACTCAACGACACTTAACAACAACAAACTATACCCTGGGTGGTGCACGCACTAGGTTGCTAGTCACTAGGTTGGAGGTGGGAGTCTGCTGCGGAATATTCCGGAGGTGCCTCTGAAGAAAAGTCCAGGCCATCTACTTCTGAAAACCCTGTGTGCCTGTTACATGGTGGCACACATGGGATTACTATGTCAGCATTGACTCTGTGGCAAATTTTACCCATCTACATAGTGCTGAGCTTTGGCTAACGTTCCCTTCATGGAGACTATATGCTGTGTACAGAAATCACATGCTCACAGTTACAGAAAGCACAGATTGCTGTGGTGGTGGTGGTGAAGTGCTGTCGAGTCAGTTCTTCAGTCAGAGAAACCCTGTATAGGGTTTGGGTTTGAGCCACCAACCCTGGGGTTAGCAGGCCAGTGCTTTACCCACAGAGGCTCAGAAAGAAGTTCCGACATCACCTCGTCTATCCTGGCCCCGAATGGTACTGTAGGATTTGGCCACACTTTTGAAGTGACCCTGGTGACAAGTGTGTGCTACCATGCTTCTGCTTGCTGCACCTATGTTTGACCAGTGCTCGCAGTGGGGACTTACTAGGCACAGTGTAGTTTTCTGAAAGGTGTGAGCAAGGTGTGGGTTAAGTTTGGGCCGTGTGGTCAGAGAGACCTGGCTTCATCAGGCCCCTCCTCGGCCCCTTTCACTGTTTGAGCCTCTGCTTCCACGTCTGTAAAGGAGGAAACTTTCTGTTTGCAGTTGTGATTGAAGACCCAAATAAAAGCCATTGCCACTGAGTTGATAGCAACTTATAGTAACCCTATAGGATATAGGACATAGGACGGCCAGGAGTGAGCTGTACAGAAGCAGACTGCCACATCTTTCTCACGTGCAGCGCCTGGTGGGTTTGAACTGAGAACCTGTTTGGTTGGCAGCGAAGCACTTAACTACTGTACCACTAGGGCTTCTTCAAGTAAATGGCAGCTATCTTTATTAGTATCTGGAAGTCTGTTTCTCATTTAGGAATGAAAGTCTTACAGATGGATGAAAAACCTGGTAATAAATGATTTTATTGGGGGTGGAGGTGTCATGGGGTTCTGAGTCCTTAACCATAGCTGTTTGTTTAGCTCAGTCATAAGAGGTCTGGGGCGAACACTGGACACGCAGCTTCTCACCCTCCAGTAGGGGGAAATGTTGACAAGTCCTTTCAGTGTACGCAGTAGGCTGCTATGCTGCCGCTCAGAGCCAAGCAGAGAAAGTCGCTTGACCTGAAATAGGAACAGTTGGCTTCCCAGCTGCACCTGTCCATTCCAGGAGGCATCCTAGGGTGAGCTCACAACTGTGAGGGAATCTGTATCACAGGAACAGGGTCATTAACAAAGCGTGAATGAGAACTGTACAGTATCCTAGTATCATGCCAGTCATTCTGTGCTCCGTACTGAATGTTCTTCAACAAACCACTAGGTTTTGCTGGGGCCGTTTGTCTTGTGCCCTCTCCTGGACAGCTCTGTGTAGTGCAGTCTTCAAAATACACAGGTTCTCATTTAGTTCTTTCAGATAGTGTTCTACTTCAGTGATGAGGACATGGAACCAGAGGAAGGTTAAGTATAAACTCATACTTTAGAGAGGATCAAAGTGAGAAATTTATTTTCCCCCAGCAAAAGGAACAACAAGGTTAGAAAGAGCCAGAACTAGGACTCGAAATACATGTTTTGCCACTATCTTCTAGCTATAATTAAAGGAGCTTTGGTAGCGTAGTGGTTACAAGTTGGGCTGTTAAACACAAGGTCAGCAGTTCGAAACTACCAGCCATTCCATGGGAGAAAGATGAAACTTTCTGCTCCTGTAAAGATTTACAGCCTTGAAAACCCTATGCAGGTCACTCCATGGCACACTACACCTCTGCCCTGGACTTCTGAAATTGGCATTAGTCTTCAAAGTTGTCAGATTGTAGTATTTCTGCTTTGTAAAGTAGAGGTTCAGCAAAAAAGTGGAAGACCCCCCAATGAGATAACAACTATTGTGAGGATGGTGCAGGACCGGGCAGTATTTCGTTCTGTTGTGCAGCAGGTCGCTATGAGTTGGAACTGACTCAATGGCACTTAACAATTATAGTATTTCAATGATAGGCACACACTTGGAGGCAACATTGTTGTTGTTGTTGTTAAGTGCCGTCGAGTCGGTTCCGACCCATAGCGACCCTGTACAGGGCTTCCGAGGGTGTAAATCTTTACGGGAGTAGAAAGCCTCATCTTTCTCCCGCGGAGCGGCTGGTAGTTTCGAACCACTGACCTTAAGGTTCGCAGCCCGATTTGTAACCACTACGCTACCAGAGCTCCTTTGGAGGCAACATAGCATAGTAATTAAGAGCAGTCTTTAAAATCAGTTATTGCTGCAGCTGATTACCTCGGTGAGGTGTAAGTTAGACCTCAAAATATTTCACAGATGACTTGAGGGACATGTGTGAAATATGGATCGCTGTCCCTAATAAGATTGTAAGAAACAGACCACAGTGTAAGGAAAGCACTCTCACAAGCCTGGAACATAGTAAGCTCTCAATAAAAGGTAAATGATATTGTACTTGGGCATCCAAGTTCAATAGGGAGGGAAAAAGGATTTTTTATAAACAAAATTTTAACTTTTATTTCATGGAAACATACTCAGTTAAAAAAAAAAAAAAATCAGAGAGCAAATGGGTAAAAACTTCCTAACCTCACTCTAATACCTCTAAACTGACATCCTGCCCACTGACCAACAGATTCATCCTGACAACCATTTCTTTGATCTTCTTAATTAGGTTATTTTCTGTCCTCTGAATAAGTAGATGTACAATGCAATTAACCCATAATTTGTTTATATTTTAGAAGTCAAAAGTCATGGGGATATCCACAGACCTAGTAAGAACGAACTCATTTCCTCAGTTGATAGATGTGCTTCTGCAATATAGAAATCATGAGAAATGTATTTTCTTCCATTAAAAGGAACAGACTTGCAAGAGCTTAAAGCATCATCGAATAGATGCAAAAGCTGTGCATGTGTGTGCAGTGGTGGCAATCTGTTTTTTTCTTGAGCATTTTCACCTGCACCTAGAGACTGTACTACCTAGAGCAGTGGTTCTCAGTGTTGTCAACACAGTGCTCCTTTTGACAAAGTCATGCACCATAAAGTCAATATGATGTTGTCTGTCATTTCTAGCGAAATTACTTTTAGTTCAACATGCAAATGTTTAGAATGTACTAAAAGACTTCGTGAGTCCTGGACTGGTAACTGCAAAGTCGGCAGTTGAAACAAGCAGCTGCTCTGGAAAACTCTATACAGGGTCACTATGAGTTACAACTGAAGTGACCGCACACAATTCATTTTGGATTTGAGAGATGGAAGCTATTCCATATAAGAGTTATAAGAAAATGAAAGCAAAGAAATAGAGTGCACCCTAGATAAAAAATGAATATATTCAAATTATCCAAAATACTTAATTGTATGTAAAACTGAGTTAGGGTCTAGATTGATCCTTTTAAGTACATTTCTAACTTACATGAATGTCTCGTAGTACATTTGAAAATTGTGCAAGAAGTGGGTCATTTTTCTCATGTGCAAAACTGTCCTGAACATCTAGCCCTCTACTCTAAAACTGTCCTTTAGGGGCTAGTACTGTCCTGGTGTGGCACTAATGAGCTGGACTGCAAAGTTAGTTTGTACCACAAGGTCGGTGATTCAAGCTCACCAGCCGCTCCTCGGAAACCCTATACAGGGTCACTATGGGTTGGAACTGACTCGATGGCACTTAGCAACACTGCCCCTTTGAGAACCACTGGTCTATGAAACATATATGCATCCCCCATCTGTGTGCATATAACAGCATGTATATGACTGTATTTTATAAAATTCATTTTATAGAATGTATAGTGTACTGGATCTTTTCTTGTGGTTTCACCTATGAATCTAAGTGATGATTCCACTTGGATACCCACCTGTATAGTCCATTTAAACAAAAACTTAGCTGAAAGTCAGTTATGTGAGTTAAGGGCAGTGTGAAACATCATGGATGTACCCCACTGTTCTCTCCACAGTTCACATGGAAGGAAAACCATTTCTCAGAGCACTGGATGTATTAAGAGAATTAAAAAAAAAAAAATTATCTTGTTTTCAGGACTTAATGATTAAAAATAGAGCTCTATCCAGTTGCATTTGGTAGCTGACAAAAGAGATGCTGGAATGACTCGATGACAGGGGGTTTGATTGGGGTTTTTGCAGAAAGAGAAAATGGAAGGGGAAAATTGCTAAGAAACTCTAAAGTGGACAACAAAATGAATTCTCAGCTATACAGATACTAAATAAGGGCCTGCTACCCAAGGACTTAGAGTCCTGGTGTGACACTGTAGGATAAGCACTGGACCACATGGTCAACGGTTAAACCCACCAGCTCCTCCTTGGAAATACTATACAGGGTCGCTATGAGTTGGAACCGACTCAGTAGCACTTAACAACCACCACCCAAGGAACTTCATTAGTCATATGCTTTGTTTCCATTTTAAAGTACTAGTTAAAACAAGATTACCATGCCCTGATCATATATATAAGGCTATACAGATTGAAATCTGTAATGAACTACATTTATCTGAAAATTGTTCCTTCTTGGAAGTACTTCAGGTAAGTTTCTAACTCAATTTGAATGTCTTGGATTTGGTATTCAAGGATGTAGAGTACAGGTGGATGAGACTCAATGTTCAGAATCGCCTTTGCCAGTGACTATGTGTTCTCATTAACAGCTCCAGGCCCATTTCCAGTTCCAGGTCCCAAAATCCATTCCTCTGCATCCTCTGGTGAAATGCTCCTTCCACGGTTTGGGACAGTCATCACTTTAATCTATGCTTCTGCTGTCAAGTTCTTTGTTGCTCTCTAGTTTAATATATTCTATATTACTTGAACTCCACGCTACAGGGATCCTATAGCAAGCCGTAAAGATTGATCTATTTTTCACTTGTTGGCCAAAGTCTCCCGATAAAATGAGAATTGTATTATTTGCTAGTCATTAGTTATTTTACAAGTTCACAAGTTGGTCCACGTAGGATATCATAGAACTTAACTTTTCACTTATTTCTGTATTAATCTTATGATCACCCAAAAAAACCTGTACACTTCTGTTGCAGTTCAATAAAAGATTTTTAAGATTATTTAGATGTAATTTCAGTAGAATTCTTAGATATTAAAATGTCTAAAATATTAATGAGTCTTGGTGTGGCGCTGTAGGATGAGCACTGAACTGTTAACCTACTAGCCGCTCCTCAGAAATCCTATACAGGGTCGCTACAGACTGATAGTTGTTTTAATACCTGAATTACAGAATTTGAGAGCAGATACCTGCTTGCCATGTTGAAGGCTCAAATTTCAAATTGTTTCATCCTTCAGTCTCACCTTCCCTTAATATATGAACATTCTATGTCTACAAACACAACACTTTACAGTATTTCACAGGCAGTCTCTAACGTGAAGCTTGACCCTTAGATATCAGAGTACCTTTTGCTCCCTGAGGAATTACAGCAGTTAACCAGAGACTGAATAAAGCATGGACTTTGTAACCAACACTTACTTTACACTTTCTTTGTCAATGTTTCAAAAGGATTTAAGGTGCTTTCAAAGATACAGAGAAATGAAATAAAATGTAAATTAGGTGTCAGGGGTTCAAGGTGCTTGAATTCTACTAACATTTCTTCTTCGTAACTCTGAGCGAAGGCTATTTACAAACACCCTTAGCCAATTGAGGACTAAATACACAAGTTCTGTTGAATTGTGTTAGAGAATATAACTTAGTTCTAAGGCCAAAGTGATCTTTCTTCCTTTGACCCCAATCTAGAATTTGGTTATCACTTACTTAGAACACAGCCTGAGTCCAGGTATCTAGCGGCATGAACAAGGACCACCTGCCCGCCTTAGACTTACAGTCACCAGGAGGCCAACTGGGCAGTCATTAAAAGGCAGACCCTGGACCCCGTCTGTCTCAGGGTGGTTTAAGTAGTTGTCAGCATTCAGCTGCTAACCAAAAGGCTGGAGGTCCAGCCAAGATGAAAGGGTCTACTTCCAAAAATCAGCAAGCATTGTGAAGTTCAGTTGTGTTCTGCCACATCTGTGGTCACCATGAGTAGGAATTGACTTAATGGCAACAGGTGTGTATATGTGGGACAGGACTAGATGGATTTACTTCATGGGATTGGGAAGTACAAAGATCTAACAATTACCCAAACCATGAAAAGTACAAGTCTAGAGGAGTGACCGTGGCATTAATTTTTATGTCATGAGTAATGAGCGCTACAAAGGAATTCTGGTAGCGTAGTGATTACGAATCGGGCTGGGAACCGCAAGGTCAGCAGTTCGAAACTACCAGCTGTTCCGTGGGAAAAATATGAGGCTTTCTGCTCCCATAAAGATTTACAGCCTCGGAAACCCTGTACAGGGTCACTATGAGTCAGAACCGACTCCACGGCACATAACAACAACAAACTCACCAGAGTATGTGGGCCCAATGAGTAGTTCTGATCAGGGCAACAGTCTTTCCTACTGTAATAGAAACTCCTTCCAGATTCGGCTATATGGCTAAGGATGGGAGGAAGCTCCTATCATCTAGGCCAGACAAAACATGGACAGGAGAGAACTTCCTGTCAATGCCGATGGGGTTCTAACTATGAGCAGGAAAGCAGGATGAAAGCGGGTAGTAGATAGGGTCGGCTAATCAACTGCATGCCATAAACTTGGTCAAAGTGGCTACAAACTTCTAGCAGCTAACTTAGGAAAAACAAAATCAGCTGTAAGATTCCCAGTCTCCTACACTGTTCCCTAATTTGCAGTTTGGAGAGAAATTCCTTAAGAAGGTTCCTAAGAGAATGGCCTCTAAAACCAGTGATCATACTCATCACTATCCCCATAGCAAGATGGCAAGATCCTCGGGCTCCTTCTCCTAACACTCTTCAATGTAAGTTAACACGTCAAACAGAAAGACAAGCTTAAGGGTTTCAAGAGGAGTGAGTGTGTTTGGTTTATATTAACTGATCCAGTTGTTAAAGAACCACTATTTCACATTATAATGTTTGCTAATTTAGATTTTTCTAGTATTTTCAGGTACTGGTGTGGCGCTGTAGGATCAGCATTGGACTGCGAACCACAAGGCCAGCAGTTCAAACCCACCAGTGGCTCCTTGGAAACCCTAGTCAGAATCGCCTCAATGGCACTTTAAACAACACAGCCATTTATATTTGTTAATGATATCTTAGAGAATTCTTTATCCTAGATGATACCTGAATTTTTATATATTATAATCTAATCAAAGTATTGCAGCACTGACCAACATCCTTGGAGGTGAGAGGGGAAATCTGGCTCAAAACAAGCAAAGACTAAAATTCCTTAGCAATTGTGTAGACACTTAATGGTCATTCCCCAAAAGCCAGGTAAGCCAAACAGAGAATTATATAAAAGTAATTACAAATCAAGAATTTATTTATTAATAGGTTTTCATCTTTTTTTAGAAATAAAGTTTCAAAAAACAAAATGTTGCAAAACTGATAAGTAATTTTGTTATATGTCCTAATTTTTTTAAAGTTCCAAATAAGTAAAATAATATAAAAATATATTTTTAAATCTTTATAGAATGAAAAGAAAACCACACTAATCATTAAAGATTCTTGGATTTTCTTAACTCCTCCCACAGATGAATTCACAAATATAAAAATTGATATACAGTTATACTCTGAAGTACCAATCTCCAGCAGCCAAGTCATTAGTTTATTTTGTATGTGCAAAGTAGACATTTTATATTCACTAGCTACGGAAAGCTGAGTACAGGCTCAATGGAGAATCTTTTTAAACACTGATTACTTTTAAAGTACAATGCTGTTGGAAGAATGTACAATAGTACATATACTTTGGGTAATTGTGTACTTTTCTTTTTAAAGTAAACACAGCTTTTATGTATAAACCTTTCAAAGGCGATCTTTGAAAAGCTGTGAAGTGACTGTGTATTTTAGATCTGATGAATAATCTGTCAGTAACCTCCGAAACCAAGCCAGGAGAGGGTGCTTTACTTTTCTTGCTCTTTCTCCTCCATGTCGCCAGTTCTCCAGGAGGGCCTGTTGTAGTCGGAGGATGCAAACCTCTAACACAAGGTTGGGAACTGTCAACTGAAGACACCGCCTCTGTTGTGGATGGTTTCATTCAATCCATGTTCCACCAACTTTATATCTTCCAGATCATCTTTTATTATGCTAATCAGGTGGCTAAGGCCTTCTTGCTGCTGTTTCAAATGCTAGAATGAATTGAAGGAAAAAACATCTTAATGATTTGAACTGTAAGCAGCTACCCACAGGAAAGGACTGTTGGTCACTTTTTTACTAGCAATACAGTACCTAGTAACTGCTCTCTATGTAGTGGGCATACATAGATATTTCAACATTTATACGGTCTTTTACTCATTGAACCTTTAAGTGGCCTATAGTAAAAGACAGGAGCCTTGCAAGGGTAATGAATTGCAAGTTTGAATTGACCAGCTGCTGCATGGGAAAAAGATGAGGCTTTCTGCTGCCATGAAGATTTACAGACTTGGAAACCCCATGTGGGGTTGCTATGGGATGGAACCAACTCCAAGGCACACCACCACCACCACCATAGTAAAAGACACATTCTAAAGAGTAAAAACATACATAATACGCAATACTTTCAATGGCACTTTTACCAATGATGCAGATTTTACACAAAGTTATCTCCTTCATCAACCTTTGATTAAAAACACAGCCATAGTAATAAAACAACTCAAAAAAGTACTCAAATAAAGATGACCAGCAAAATAAAGTGAAAACTTGGAATGTTCATATTTTGAAGCACAAAGTATGTAGTGATGACAGTGTTGAAAACTACGGTTGTTAGCATAATAGTGCTTCTCATGTGTCAGAGCACCGTCTAAAGAGCTTCACAATATTAACTCATTAAAATCCTTCTGAACACCTTTTAGGGTATATTATCATCTCCACTTTACAGATATAAGGAAACTGAGACATGAGTAAGTAACCTGCCCAAGGTCACAGACAAGTAGGTGGCAAACCAGGACCGAATCCCAAGACCATATTCTGCTTCCTTCATTTTAGAAAGGTAGGTGTTCATATCTTAATTATTGCAGCTTTTACACACAAACTCTTTGGACTCCTGGTGTGGCACTGTAGGATCAGCACTGGGTTGTGAACCACGAGGCCAGAAGTTCAAAACCAACAGCTGCTCCTTGGAAACCTTGTACAGGGTCCCTATGAGTCAGATCCAACTCAACGGCATTTAATAACAACAACAAAGGAGTCAAATCTGCTTCATGATACATTAAATAGCAATATCACTCTAAAGTACATGATAAAAGTCAGCCATGTAGATAGCATTTGTAACTGAAAAGTTGGCAGTCTGAACCCACCCATCAGCTTCTTTGAATAAAGACCTAGTGATCTGCTCCTGAAAAGATTAGCATCTAGAAAACCTTATGGGGCAGTTCTCCTCTGCGGTGTGGGGTCACTGAGTTGAAAACAGACTCAAAGGCACGTAACAAAATGCTCAGGGCTATGCCAACAATCCTACCTAGCATGTTCTGCAGAGTTTACTATCTTAATGTATTTTCCCTAGACACAGTCAATGGCTAGACGACTTAGACCACACCCTTTCCATACAAGTTGCCTGAGAGACAAATGGTTGAGGCTTCGGACCACTTAGCTGCCCCGAGGGTAGAGGCAATCACTATAACAGCATATTTATAACTCTGTTTGAACTGCAAGCTCAGCAGTTCAAGCTTACCAGCTACTACTCCTCGGAAACCCTAAACAGGGTCACTGTGGGTCGGCACTTAACAACAATGTGACATATAGCTTTGGGAAGGTATGAGCT